TTGTGGTCCCAGACCCCAGTTTGTTATGGTAAATTCTCAATGATACTGAATGTCGTTTGAATGATATTGAATATCATCTTTTGGAAATATTATAGGTGTTATGTTTGTTTGTGCTCCCTCTCAGTTGGCTCTACCTGGCTCTGAGCATTTGTCTATGCTGGGATCTCTTGTGAGTGGAGTAAAGGTGGAGACTCTATGGACTTTACCAACTGATGTTCTGCTGGAAGCGTTACCTGCTATGAGCCTTCAGACACCTGGGCTCACCCCCCCACAGGTCAACACTATCATCTCCAAACTCTGGGTACGATACTCACTTTAACAGATTTTCCCGTTAGGCTTCTGAACACGAACATCTCATATTGGAGTATTAGTTAAGAGAAACAGCTGTAAATGCACAATTAAAAGAGCTTCAAGTATTAACACCAGACTGGATATACATAACCAAATGTAAATCAAATGTGCTCCATTGTTGTACCAGAACTTCATTTATCAACCACAATTACAGTAAAATTACAGTTCTTGTCAATTTTATATTTAAATAAATGTATTTTTTTTTATTAGTGTTTTGTTAACAGCGTCCCTCTGACTAATGGCAGTGATGATGTCATTATAATATTTGCCTACTTAGTTATTAAAGGTTTTTTTTTTTCTTACATTTATTTGCATACTGAATTGTGATTTGTGATACATATTTATTTAGACTAAGATTCATAAGATTGGGGTCAATATGATCTTTCAATATTTAAAAAAAATTGTTTTATCTCATGAAGGCTGTGAAATACAGTAAAACTAGTTTACAATTTATGTTGCAATGTTTTGTTAAAATTGTTAACTGTTTTCTATTGATATATATTTTCAGCTATTTGAAAATCTGGAATCTGAGGGTGTAAAAAATCTAAATACTGAGAAAATCGCCTTTAAAGTTGTCCAAATGAAGTTCTTAGCAATGCATATTACTAATCAAAAATTATGTTTTGATATATTTATGGTAGGAAATTTACAATATATCTTCATGGAACATGATCTTTGCACTATCATCTCCAAACTCTGGGTAAGAAAATCACTTTTCCCTTTAGGCCTCTGAACACAAACATCTCATATTGGAGTATTAGTTAAGGGAAACAGCTGTAAATAAATCCATAACTAAAAGAGCTTCAAGTATTAACACCAGAATGGATATTCATAACCAAATGTAAATCAAATGTGCTCCATTGTTGTACCATTGTTGTGGAATAATTTCTGGTTTTGAATATCTCTTTGAGTTTCAAAAAATAAATAAATAAATAAATAAATATATATATATACATACATATATATATATATATATACAGGGATTGAAATTAACTGTTTCACTCACCAGCCAATTTGGCTACTCAATTTTTAAGTTACCGGCCATTCATAACTTCTACTAGCCAAAAAAAAAAAAGACAGAAATACACCAACAGTTTGAGGCTGTCTACACTGGGTGTGACAAAGCGACCTTTGCAAATCATTTTGTCAGTACTAGGGGTTTGCGATATTGACAAAAAATAATATCTCAATATTTTCTGTGATTTTATCAATAAAGATAATTAGACGATATTTTGCTGAGTGTGTTATTGTGCTGATATCTTAAGGACTACCGTGATGATGTCATTATAATATTTGCCTACTTAGTTATTAAAGGTTTTTTTTTTTCTTACATTTATTTGCATACTGAATTGTGATTTGTGATACATATTTATTTAGACTAAGATTCATAAGATTGGGGTCAATATGATCTTTCAATATTTAAAAAAAATTGTTTTATCTCATGAAGGCTGTGAAATACAGTAAAACTAGTTTACAATTTATGTTGCAATGTTTTGTTAAAATTGTTAACTGTTTTCTATTGATATATATTTTCAGCTATTTGAAAATCTGGAATCTGAGGGTGTAAAAAATCTAAATACTGAGAAAATCGCCTTTAAAGTTGTCCAAATAAAGTTCTTAGCAATGCATATTACTAATCAAAAATTATGTTTTGATATATTTATGGTAGGAAATTTACAATATATCTTCATGGAACATGATCTTTATTTAATATTTTATTTAAAATGTTGACCCATACAATGTATTGTTGGCTGTTGCTACAAAATTTACCCGTGCGACTTATGACTGGTTTTGTGCTCCATGGTCACATATGCTGATTTGGTGTTGAACTAACATTTCTTATTATTATCAATGTTGCTGCTTAATATTTTGTCAAAATTGGGACAGATTATTTCAGGATTCTTTTATGAACACAAAGTTCCAAAGAACAGAATTTATTTGCAATAGAAATCTTTTGCAACAATAAAAAAATCGTTTTTATGTATATCTGTTTTAGAAAAAAATGTGTATATCTGTTCTTACAGTGCAAAGACCATGTAGCATTTCATTAGCGCAGAACCAAAACCTAAAACATAACCTTATGTGAAACTTAACACTATTCATATGCTGCCTTTCAAGCATTGGTATTTCTGCAAATCTGGTTAAGATCTGATGGGCAAAATATATTCTTTCTCACATAGTCTGACTAAAGGTGTGTGTTTGAGCAAGAGGTCATAACAAGAGTGTTTTCCATCATGACACTCCCTATTACCACAGAGATCTGTATAATACCACAGTGTCTAATTGCTGGTTTAATTATTGATAATGGAGCACAACAAAGCTTCTTTGTTGTGTAACCTCTGATTTAGTACCCTAGACAGTGTATGTCGTGTTAACTAGGAGAAAATAAGATGAAAACCAACCTGAGTTGCTCTGGTACTGTCTTTCCCTTTTTCTGGGACATTAAGCATGAAAGTGTTTTGTAATCCCACTTTTTTGTTATAGATAAGCTTACAGAGACAAGAAGTCACTGATTTCACTGTTAATGTATGAATAAATATTTAACAAGTTAGAGTAATTGTGCCCCTGACTTATAGGTACATTTCTTAGAATGATAGTTCACCCAAAATTGATTTATTTTTTTTTGTCATCATTTACTCATCCTCATGTTGTTTCAAAACTGTATGCATTTCATTCTTCTGTTAAACACAAAAGAAGCTATTTTGAAGAATGTTGGTAACCATTTGCTGGTAGCCATTTACTTACATAGTATTTTTTCTATACTATGGATTGTCCACAGTTAAAAGCTATTCTAAAATCTTAAATCCTTGATCGTTCCAATAGCATCCTTGTATTGTTTTTTCATTCAACAGGCTAAAGTTCTCTTTAAAGAGGCTGTCGTCTCTCACCCAAGCCTCTCACTACAAGAATTTCTGTAAGTTTGGCCTTTAGGGATTTGTGAGTTCATTTTATGATTATAAATAAGGTCTACAAAATTAATCATGACACTGCTCAGTGAAGTACTTAAGTATGATCATGTTTTTCTTTCTCTGACATGACAGATCTCTGGGGACTCTGGCTACGGGAGTGAGTTGCACAGACCTTAGAAGATTGTTCCAGAAACTGGCATCTCTATCTCCTCTACGTGACATTATGACATTTCTGAGAGAGCAGCCTGTGCCACTCCACCCGTCACTGGTATCTAGTAAACCTACATTCAAATCCAGGACCTAAATGTTACAGATTACCAGTTTAGTTTAGTTTCTTCTTTATTCAGTCAAAATCTCACTAAGGCCAATCTTACTCCTAGTTCACTCAATCTATAAAATTTTGTGTAGGCCTACCTGTAAATTGAGTACAGATGTCTTGAATCTTGAATAATGGATCGAGTGTTGCACAAACCACTCTCTTTACAGAAGTTTCTTTTTCTTTTCTGTACTACAGAAAAAGTGTGTATTTGAGGAACTGTATAGGTTTGACTTCTTCTCAGAGTTACTTGGAGATTTGGGTTCTCAGATTGCTCTGTCACTTCCGTGAGTCAAAATTCAATTCAATTAAAATACATTTACATGTGTATAAAATTATGTCTTGACTTGTTGAATTTCATGTTGTTGTCTAAAGGCTGAGCACCATTAAGAAATTTCCACCAGATAAGATGCATTCCCTGAAGAAAATTATAATACAGGACCCATATTACTTCCTACTGCTTCCCAGCACCAAACAAGCTGTCCTGGTGGACAAGATGGTTCAAAGACTGGTAAAGAATATAATTTTACTGTCTAGAGGTCATGCACATACTTTTGTTGTGGATCAATCCAATGAATGATTTTGACAGGGTTAACAACCCTGATTCTATGAACATTTAGTTTAACCTGCACCTTTTAAAAGATCTTTAATGTCAAATTGACCAGTTGGTTTAGTAATCTCTGTGAATCTCCAACCAGTATTTCTTTGATTTTCTCATCAGGATATGTACACTGGCCTGTACACTGAAGAGGAGTTTCGTTCACTAGGCGTCATGGCTACATTTGTGACAGATGAAATGTTTTTTAAATTGGATAGGAGCTTTTTTGTTGATAGTCTGGAGTTCCTACAAGGATTCTGCTACAATGCCAATAAAAGAGACCTGGTGGCAAAGATGCTAGAGGAACAGTGGACATTTGGGTATGGACAGCTAAAACTTCATTTTCTAGTTCCTATTAAATCACTGGAAAATAAAGCTTGCATCAAACCCAACAAGTTGGCAATCAGGGTTAACAACCCTGATTCTATGAACATTTAGTTTAACCTGCAAAAAAAGATCTTTAATGTCAAATTGACCAGTTGGTTTAGTAATCTCTGTGAATCTCCAACCAGTATTTCTTTGATTTTCTCATCAGGATATGTACACTGGCCTGTACACTGAAGAGGAGTTTCGTTCACTAGGCGTCATGGCTACATTTGTGACAGATGAAATGTTTTTTAAATTGGATAGGAGCTTTTTTGTTGATAGTCTGGAGTTCCTACAAGGATTCTGCTACAATGCCAATAAAAGAGACCTGGTGGCAAAGATGCTAGAGGAACAGTGGACATTTGGGTATGGACAGCTAAAACTTCATTTTCTAGTTCCTATTAAATCACTGGAAAATAAAGCTTGCATCAAACCCAACAAGTTGGCAATTAACTTTAACTGTTTTCTCTGCATAGCCCTGTAAAAAACTGGACATCAGAGACTCTGAACCAAGTGGACCGCTTCTTGTTTTTTCTTCCGAAGGACACTATTCAGCTCATCCCCTTAGTGAGTGACCAGATATTTCTTTGTGTCTGACACAGCTATGTGTCAACTGAACACATGTATTGTACCTCATGACCAACTGACCAAGTATTTTCGATCACTGTTTTGACCTGTCTACATGTGTGCGTGTGTCTTCAGGGTTTGATGAGCTTAGAGCGCATTGAGAGGCTGTTCCTGAGTCAGCGGGAGTGGGAGAGAGGAGAGTTTGGCTCTCTGTGTCAGAAACCCTCAGAGCTGTTTGAAAAGCAGCAGTTTGTGCTTCAATTCTTCCTCGGCTTCCTCAGAATTGGACGTGCCCCTTGTAAGTACAATTCTCTGCCTTGACAGAATGTCATCTGTTTAAATCATTCTGTTCACTTTAAATAGATAACAGATTGTGAAGGAATATAATACAGTAGTATGGCTGTCACTTCACACTTTTGACCACTCAACCCTTTTCATTTCATCTCTCCATCTCTGTGTCTTAGATACTGGACTGATCCCCTCTTGTGAGAGCCTGCATGGGACACATCCTGCTGCCTGGACTATTGACAGCCTTAGAAACATGCCACAAGCTGCATTTCGGAGGTGCTTGGAGCTCATTGGCCAGGATCCGTTTTTCAGGGCATACGAGCTGTTAACGCTCCTTACAAAGACCAAAGAGGTGCCTGAATTGCTCCATTTCTCCAACATAATATGTTGGTGATATTCAGTGAATATCTGCGGCATAATAAATAGTGGTCAATTTTTTTGGTCTGTGTGTAGGTGTATGGGATGCCTTCCTCTTTTAACTCTTCTGTGATCTCTCAGTTGGGTCGCATTGCCACTCAGCTCACACTTGAAGAATTGGCCTCTCTTAGACTCTCTGAAATTCAGTCAATTTCAGCTATGGGGGCTCTCAACACATGGACCAGCAGACAGGTAAAATGTTGATGAACATTAGTAAAAGTGAGCTGGAATGGTTGGTAAAATTGTGATTTGAAAAACACAGTATACCACTAATGAAAGAAAATGCACTGATTGATTTTGACTTGAGAATACTGTTTTTATTCCTTTCTTTATTTATTATACATTTTAATGCACATTAACGTTCAATCATTGGGATTGGTATGATTTTTTAATGTTTTGAAATAAGTCTCTACTGCTCACCAAGGCTGCATTTATTTGATCAAAATTACAGTAAAAACAACAAAAATATTGTGATATATGATTACAATTTAAAATAATTGTTTTCTGTATTTTAAAATGTAATATATTCCTGTGATGGCAAAGCTGAAATTTACTGCAGCCATTACTCCAGTCTTCAGTGTCACATGTTCCTTAATTTTAATATGCTGACATTGGTTCTTAAGAAATATTTATTATTATCAATGTAGAAAACTGTTGCTGCTTAATATTTTTTTAGGAAAAGAAAATTCAAAAGAACAGCATTTATTTGGAAAAGTTTTTTTTGTAACAATGTCTTACTAAAATGTTAGTAAAAATCTTACTAATCCCGTTTTGAATGGTTGAATGTACATATTGTAAATGACCTCTGTTTGCAATTGCAGCTGAAATTACTATTCTCCGCCGTTCTGAACTCAACCAGAAAGACGCCTAGCCAGTTAGACTCCAGCACTTTTGTGGCATTGGGGCACATTGTGTGTGGGATTGATGCACCAATCATGCGCAACCTGAATCCAGTGGAGTTCAGGTTGAATTATCTAAAAAAAAAAATCACAATTATCTGAATTATCTAAAGATTTGTTGCATGTATGTTTCCTTCAATTAAATGTACTCTTGTGCTTCTTAATGTAAAATGTGTTGGTTTTTTTATTCCAGTAAAGCAGTTTTGTGGCTTGGCCGTTTGAATTTGTCTTGCTCTGAGGAGCAGCTGCAGGCATTGACAGGGCTGCTCAGTCATAGCTTGGCATTTGGACCGGTCAGCTTCTGGGGATCAGAGGTCTTCATTGAGATCGGAGCGATTGCAGGTACAGCTCAGAACTTGTAATCAGAAAGTTGGTGGATTGATTCCCACAGAAATCCCCATTGGGACCTTGAGCAAGGCACTTAATCCAAAGTTGGAATTGTCCCTGTAATAAATGTACTTTGTGTCACTTTGGATAAAAAGAGTCTATTAACAGATATAGTTTATCATAGAGAATTAGTAGCTTAAAGAACTTGTGCCTGATTTGCTAGTTTTGGTTCATAGTTGTGGTAATTGAGGTTTTTTTGTCTATACATGGTGTTTTTGTGCATTTTTCCCCTTTCTGTAGCGGGACTACCTGACATAGCCATGTCTGCTTTGGTGAGGGAACAAATTGAAGGAATCACCCCACTTGCCATCTCTCTCATCCCAGCGGGCAAATTTGCAGTTAGTATCTTTTTTCTCTAGCCTCTTTAGTGCCTTGCACTAAAATGAATGATGCATGATGAATGTATGTGGCTATTTGATTGTATTCATAACTATTATTGACACGGCAAGGAGGAATATCTTTTCTAATTCCTGTCACCGATTTGACAACAAATGATACAAATCTAACAAACTGTTAATTTCTTTCATTTCTTACCTCAATTTCAAGATCTCAAAACACTCTTATGATGTCTTCTGTTTTTTTTTAATTAAAAGTATTTTGAACTCATTCTTTATTACCTGGTGTTTCTGCTTTCTCTCTTCACAGGTAGTGTTTAACCAGGCACAGATTCGTATGTTCACCTATGATCAGGCCGTTGCTGTGACTGAGGCCCAGCGCTCCGCTCTGTCTACAGTACAGCAGACGGCCCTGTCCATGGTGCTCAACCCCTGGGAGGACAAACCTGTTGATTTCAGAGGTACTTTCACTCCTGCTGTGAAAAATAGAGGGAGAAGGAAAAACTATTATATTATATACATTAATATAAAAAAGTTAAATGTGTGATCAATCTCAAACCTGAATGAATGATTAATATTTGGACATTTTGGGTTGTTAAACGCTCTTTATTCTGTCTCACAGTTATTTTTGTGTATCATTTCAGGCATGTCACTGGGAGTTGCAATGCACCCCAGTCCTTTTTTCTACCTCTCCAGCGTCCTGATAATGCTGCTGTTTTCTCTGGGATGAGTTAGGTCTGTTGCTGCTGAATTGCTGCTATACTGAATCAAACTTTTCTTTCCAAATATGTGCAATGTGATGTAACTCTATTACTTTATATATAAGACTTATGAGAAATACAAGAACAATAACTATTTCTATAATAACTATAAATATTTCTTACAGCACTTTATTATAGTTGGTCAGTGAAAATGTGATTTTGTTTAATCGTTTTTGAATATTTGCTTGCTTGGATAATAATGTATCAACCTAGGTATGTAATTGCCTAAAATGATTTGGTTTGACTTGTGCTTTGTTCAAATTCTTGTCCTGTTTTTATTAGTATTATTTATTTATTTATTTTTTAACTGCTATAACAGCCTTCATACATTGAAATTCTGGAAAAATATCAGAAGGGGTTGTATTAACTTAAAGTAAAAACTTGATTGTGAAGTTTCCTTTTTCTTTCATTTGTAAACAACTCACTCATGTTTTTAATTTGGCTACTTATGTAACTGTACCTATTTGTCATAATATCGCATGCTGCCTGATGTCAAACTGTATTTTAATTTTGTATTGTTGCGCATAAACCAGTGCATATATCCTTGGAAATAAAGCAGTGGTGTAACTTATGTTTTAAAAAGTGGGTGGGACAGGAGAGAGTCTTTGAGAGTGTTTGTGTATCTATGTATTTATTCACGTCTGTGAAATAAAGTATTACAAGAGACATAAGGGGACTTCTAATTATAAAACTACAACAATTAAGTATAATAATAATAATTGTAAAAATGTACTACTACTACTAATAATAATGTATTATTATCATAATTAATACAATTATAATTATGACTCAGTTTATGACCTGACGCATCAGACTTGCACAACAGTAATGACTCGTCCTCTTGTGCGCCACACGGGGGCGTTGTAGCCAGTGGCGCGCGGTCTCCAGTCCTCCGGTATCCCGTCAGCATGAAGACAGAAGCGCGTTGATCAGAGCAGCACATGCTTTCTCTCAGCTACTACTTTAACTAACTCACACTTAGCCAAGATGGCGGATTCCGACGACTGGGGTAAGGATTACTTCCATATTTAGAGCTAAGTGTTTGACAGAGTGTCGGTCACTGTCGTAACCACGACATTATTTTGTTTTTCCAAAGACGTTGAGAACTTCGAGCCAAGTGAGCCGATCAGAAGTGGCGCCGGGCAGCTGGATAGATGGGAAGGCGAGGACGAGGAGGAAGATGTCAAGGTAGCGTGCTAATGGCCATGCAGTCAAAACTTTATCACTAAAGAGCGCTTTAGTCCTTGCAGTTCTGCCTTATCGTATGATATGTGGCTAAAGGTATCAACACTAATATGGACAATCATGGTGTATTTTTAGCCGTGTAGCTAGTCTAGAATAGGCCCGTTTTATTTAGTTCCACCAGACGTATCCAGTTGCGTGTTCATGATTATCTAGTACTACTGTTACACCTGACACTTTCTGTGTCAGCAAACGTGTCATCTGCCAGCTTGACGGGTCTGTTATCTGACAGTTTCTCTTTTAGCAATAATAAGTTGCCAGCCATTTAAAGATTAATCAAACTAATATAGGAGTTTTGGCAGCACGTCGGCCACATCATGTGAGTGTCCATGGTTGAAATGTATTGACTGAAATTAAACCAGTTCCGACAGGACACGTAGAGTTTCATTAGCAGCTTTTTCACTTGTTTTACTGGTTCATTGTACTAACTCAATTCAAAAATATGTTGCTCGTCTTATTTATTACAATTGTTGTAGCTACTTTAGCTTGTAATGTATTATTTAGCGCAGAGAACGTGGATGAAGTTCTAGAATTCTCTCACTCGCCCTCCTCTTTTCGAACTGAGAGAATGTGAGCGCGCTAGTAATTATTGCCATTTACTGCAAGTTGTTTTGTTTGAAAGGGAGCTCTGGAAAAGACTCTCCGCATTAACCCGCTAACCGAGGCCTCAAGAGTTCAAATAAACCTTTCTGGAATGACAGTATTCAGCAGGGTGCCCACGGCCATAGAAAACCTAGAAATGTCAGGAAACTTCAAAATTATGATTTTTGCGCCTTAAAATCTTTTAAAAAGGCATGGAGGAAATTTCTGTAGTGCACTTGCTTCTACTTACTCAGCTCAAATATAAAAGTTAGCTATCATCAGTTTTGTTTTAGATTGCTTCATTACTATTTCTGCCGGTTCAGTATTCATTGTTTATTAACAAAGGAATTTCTGCTTTTGTGAATTTGTAAAAACTGTTGTTTTATCTTCTTTGGGCCTGTGTAATTATAATGGCCAAACTAATCAAAAACACTTGTTCTGTTATTAATTTAATGATGATGAAATAAGTAAGGAATTAATGAAGTATTGAATCATTATTACATTATTCTGCTTATTACACGGCTGAAAGTAAATATGGCATGAAAACATTCGAATCGAGTTAAATTTATTTAGTTAGTTTACATATGGTTACCATACATTTTGCATTCTGCAGGATAACTGGGATGATGATGAGGAGGAGGAGAAGGAAGAAGAGAAGAAAGTTGAACAGAAAAAAGCAGGTACTAATCTCTGTTGAGTGGTCAAATTTTACAATGTAAACATGTTGTAGGCAGAGCCATTGCATATTTGTAAAACTCGCCATTAAGTAGATCTTTTGGGTGTGTGTTGTTTTATTACTGTTTTTCTTTAACCCAAGTGGAAAGTACTCTTATGCTTTGATTTACATTTCCTATAGAGTTGAAACCCCCTGAGAAGAAAAAATTAAGTGATAAAATAAAAGAGAAAGAAATTTTGCAAAAGAACAAACAAGATGAGTTGAAAAATATGGTAAGAAAAAATAGTATTACTTGTATAATTACTCATTAATGCATTAGCCCCTTTCTTTCCTGATACTCATTTCTTTTGCGTATCCTAAACTGTTTAACCTTAGTTTTTGAAACCTGTGAACAGATGAAAGAAACGGTGAGTGAGACTCTATCAACAGAGGAGCAGCATGCAGAGAAGCTTCGACTGAAGAAACTGCAGGAGGAGGCAGACATGGAATTGGCCCGTGAGGTGTTTGGTAAAAAAACATGTTGTGTGCACTGCACTATATGTGAAGCTTTCCAAGTGCATATTTTAACAGTTAATCACTGAACAATCATTCTGATTTCAGGTGTCGATCCTGCTGCTGCAAATGCCTCTACTACTGTTATCACAACAAACAATGCCTCTGGAATTGAAGCCATGTGCCCTTCATCCAAAGATGACTTTGTTGCATTTGAAAATTTACTGAAAGATAAGATAACACAGTTTGAAAAATCAGTGCATTATTCCAGCTTTTTGGAGTCACTGTTTCGAGAGCTTTGTATTTCATGTAAGTGCAGAAATATTTTTTTTGTTAGTAGTTTGTGTATATTTTAATAATGGTTGTTTGTGACAGAGAATTACTGATATTTCCACAACCTTTTAGATTATATGGTGGACCTCTCAAACATAAAACCTTGCACATGTCTGATGACTAATGCGCCGCCC